TAGACAGTAAAATAATAATATATATGGATGGAAGTAAAAATAAACACGAAGTTGGCAGTGCCTTTTACGTATCAAACAAAAATGTAATTAAACAGTACCGATTGTCGAAGATGTGTAGCATTTATACGGCAGAAGCGGTTGCCATTGAAAAAAGTTTATGTTGGTGCACCGACAATACAATGACATACAGAAAGCCACCGTAATCTCGGACTCCAAGTCGGTATTACAGCGGATTGAAAATCAAAATCTGACATGTCTTAAAGATAGTATTATCTGAAAAATCAAATACTCACTGTATCAACTATCTCGCGAAGGACATAATGTTAACTGTGTCTGGGCTAAGGGACATTCGGGGATACAAGGCAATGAAAAGGTGGTTTTAGCTGCTAAAGAAGCCAGAATATCAGATAACTATATACAGACTCCAATATACCAAGACCTCAACAACTTTTATAAAAAAAAATGTTCGAACAATGGATGTTATGGTGGAAAAAAGTAGGCTCTAATTCCAAGAACCCCTATTTTTTGCTCCACGAAGAACTCCCAAAAAAATACCACATATGTTTGAATACTAAGTTAACAAACACTATAGCAGCACAATTTCTAGAATGAAAATCAATCACGGTTGCTTTCCAGCTCATCTGAATAAAATAGGTATATTAGAAACTCCATTCTGTGAAGCGGACGGGGAAACTGCAGATCTAAACCATATATTTTTTCAATCTGGCAAATATAATAATAACAAACTATTATTTAATTTAAATAAATTTAATATCAATCCACCTCTCAATATTACTACTTTACTCGCAACTTTCAATAAAAATGTTTATGATATAATATTAGAATTTGTCAATGAAAATAATATCATGATCTAGATTATTACTTGTATCATACCCACATGATAATCTAATCATATCGTTTTGAGTGTGTGGCAAATGGCTTACGGTCGATGCAAAAAAAAAATTAAATGTCACGCGGGTAATGTCAAAAATTGATCGTTGATGAACAGGATCAATAATCCAACTCGTTCGTAAACTGTCCGCATTAAGTTCAGTGATCTACGTGATCCATCGCGTAAACCCAGTAATATTTGTGATCTACAGTAGGTTTCCGAAAACGCATATAGATAGCTCACCCATGTGTAAATCAGACGACGAAAAGCACTATTGTCGCCTATTATCAAAATTTCTTTACGATTATAAGCTCAGTCGCTTTTTACCATGGCTTTTCATTATATAGTTTTTAGGCTGTACCGTTCGTGCATGTTATTATATACCCTTGCTTCTACACTCCATACATTTGGGGGAGCAGTATATACAGGGTGTTTCAAAAAGGTATGTCATAAATTATTCCTCAAATAGATTACCAAAAAATAAGTGGATTTGGCTATATTTATCTATATCAAAAACCGGCTCCCAACAAAGTTACAGGACTTTAAACTAACATTCAGAAAAACGTTTTTTTTTTTTGTAAATAGTTTGCTGTTGCGATTTTTTCTATGAAATTTTTGCCAGTGCTGGATACTTGAAGGTCCAATATTCTAAGGAGAAAAAAAATTAAAGCGACCCCTTTAAAAAAAGTTGGGGGTTGGGTACCTTTTAACCCCTTGTTTTTCTTTTTTTTTGACATTAAGAAACTCGCTTTATCGATCTTAAAATCAAAAAGAACTACGAATTTTTAAATTTTTTTTATAGCGAAATGAACTTTGTATCTTTCTTAGTTAACGAGCTATTTACAATTTTTTAACTGAATTTCTAGAGCAATTCGTCCATCCTGGACTTAACATATCAACAAAACTAAGAGTAGGTCAGGAGTTATTGTATAAAAAACAAATAAAAATCAGTGGTGGGCTGTGCTTGAGCCGCCCCTGCAAAAACTACCTCTTGTATTTATATTTTTGTTAAAAAGGTATTTATAATATTGGATTGGCGCCATAAAAATGGTGTGCCACCCGTCCTCATGGGTTCATCAACTGATAAAAATATACGTTAGTTTGGAAATGTATTTATTAAATTTAATAGTAATTAAAAAAATTATTTTTTTAATTAAACAATTAACAAAAAATTAACAATTAAAAATAAACACTTCACAATAATTATTATACATATTTTATAAACTATTTAATTTAGTAAATGTTCAACATGTCCTCCTTCTTGAATACAAAAATATAAAAAATGAGGTAGTTTTTGCAGGGGCGGCTCAAGCACAGCCCTAGGCACACCACTGATTTTTATATACATTTTTTGTACAATAACTCCTGACCTACTCTTAGTTTTGTTGATATTTTAAGTCCAGGACGGACGAATTGCTCTAGAAATTCAGTTAAAAAATTGTAAATAGCTCGTTAACTAAGAAAGATACAAAGTTCAGTTAGTTATAAAAAAAAATTAAAAATTCGTAGTTCTTTTTGATTTTAAGATCGATAAAGCAAGTTTCTTTATGTCAAAAAAATACGGGGGGTTAAAAGGTACCCAATCCCCCAACTTTTTTTAAGGGGGTCGCTTTAATTTTTTTTTCTCTTTAGAATTTTAGGCCTTCAAATCTACAATACTGGCAAAAAATTCAAAGAAAAATCGCATTAGCAAACTTTTTACAAAAAGGTAAATATAGCCAAATCCACTTATTTTTTGGTAATCTATCTGAGGAAGAATTTATGACATACCTTTTTGAAACACCCTGTATAACAACTATATACCAGAGTTATCTCTGACTATTATAAAGACTAGAGATAAGGAGACGAATTGGCATACTCAAAATACGGTCCCAAAAAACGCATGCTAATTGAGCTTCTATAATTAACCGCATGGGCGCTGGTACTGCATACGTTGTTCAAAATACATGGCTTCTTATGGGAATTATACATAATTTTGTGAAAATAATAAAAATTAACTTGTTTACAGCTAAATAAAGCACAGAACATACTGTTGTATTTATTTCTAAATAAGTCTTGCATGTTTTAATTGATAAATTATTTAATTTTATCTATATAAAATACAAATTAGGTATATATGACCAAATTCGAAAAGGTTTCTTAATTGCTGAAATTTGATAAGTACAAGTAAAATAAAACACAGTTAATAGATTTTTTATTGTTGTAATACAAGTATAAAGGGAGATTTGGGAATGTACATGGTATTACCTCATTCTTTAAGTTCAGCTTTCCCCTTTTTATTTTGCTAACAGTACCATCAGTAAAAATAGTCTCATATTTGATAATATCTTCTAAAAAGTATAGAACAGCATCATCTGTAGAAAGTGCTTTATCGGCATGAGAAACGATATATATGCTGCCACTGTTCTAAACGTTTAGTATCCTATAAAAAACATTTACAATGACACAATTGGGGTCAACAAAAAAAAATACCAGTAGCAGCTCTTTATCGTAACATTAAAACTCTATAAAAAATAAATTTTCTTTTCTAGTAAGTTAAATTTAATGCCCAATTATTGTTGTTTGTAAGTCAGCATCTATAACTGTAAAATTTTATATTATAGAAACTTATAATAAAATAAACTACACTTCGTAAGATACATATTGTGACTAGTTTACAATAAATATTAGACATAATTACATTATTTTACTTACATTAAAAGCTTTAAAAAGACATTAAATTGATTTCTTTTTCTGTATTCTTTAGTTTTACATTTGATTTTTATTCTGTTTTACATTTGATTTTTATTCTGTTTTACAATCTGAAACGACGTAAATCTTGCTTTGATGTTTTTTGTCACTCATGTTACTTGTACTCAGGTACTTTTTTTCACATTATTTTGATTCTTTTCATCAATTTTTTAAAAAATCACTATTTTACATTGACTTACATAGAAAATTGACTGCGATGTCATTAGACATACCAACTACAGTCAATTTTGCGAATTTGATAAAAAGAAGGACGGAAATTTGAAATTTGACCATTGCCGATTCGCCTCCTTCTCTCTAATCTTCATACTGACTATATACATCATAAGTGTCATTGTGTGATCTGAATTATCGACTATCAGCGTCCCTATAGTACAGAAGCGCGATCTAAATTTTATACACTTTGAGGAACACTTTTTGTATACAGAGATATCTCCTTAGCTCTACACTCCATAGTTTCCAGGTTAACTGAATGTTTCTAACCTTAATTGTTTCCAGGTTAACTGAATGTTTCTAACCTTAATTTTTAGACTCCTTTCATGTAATTTAACATTTAAACAGCTGTAAGTTTTTTTTAATTTGAACGATTACGAAATAAATACTTACAGTAGTGACGAAGAAGCAAGTAGGCCTAAAGTGATAAGGACTAGAAATAACTTTTTCGATGAGTATGACAATTAAGATTGCTTTTGTCGGTTTTTTTTTCTTTGAAAATTTTAGCAGTGCTACGTCCGTTTAGACCATAGTTTGCATTAAATTGTTTTTCTATTTGAATCCATTTTTCATTTTTTTCTTTCCAAGTAACAGCATTAGTTGCTTTCGATTCAATTATTATATTTTTATATTTGGCAACTAATGAAATCAATAAATATTTCTCATCTATTGAATAATTTGAAAATCTTATAAATTGTGTATCCATTGTTAAATTTTTACGGTATCTCTATTTCTTTATATATCTTTTTTTACACAAACACATCAACCAGACAACTAGTGACATTAACCAGTAACAAAAATCCAAATAAGAAGAAAACGACTTCTTTTTTGTTTCAAAATATATAATTTGGACTACGAGTATTTATGACATAGAGCAAGCTTGGTTCCATACCAACACAAGAAACATTAATACAAAACCGTCGGTTGCTTGTCCAATAGGTAAATAATGTTTGTGAAACGGGTTCTTCTGGTTAATGTCCTAGTAAAGGTATCTTAATCCTAAGGTTTAACCGCACCGATTGTGAAACTGGCTGTGAATATATGTTTAGCCGAAATAAGTGCAAATTCACCCAGTATTAGGACACTGGTTTTTGGGAATATAATTTAGCGAATCACCATAGTAACAAAGTTTTTTTATAACCAATAGAATTTATAGAAGCAATAGGCGATCAATTATTGATAACCAGTACAGAAAACTTCACTTTGACACCTCCATTCAAGCTCAAAACTAGAGACCTGAACATCAGGACTGCGTCTGGTTCTTTGGAAAATGTCATCAAGAATTTAAGAACCAGAGTCCTTCAAATCCCCTTACCGCTTTACCATCAGACCGACTCGAAAGGGGATTTTCAAAAAACAGCAATGGCCAGAAGATACACGGCAACCTCATACGCCAATCCATTTAAGATAGACGATTTCGTCTCCTTGGCTGCTGATAAGTTTGTACATTCCATACGGTAATTTAGGCAGGTCCCTAGAAAAAGTAAAAAAAAATATTACAGCGTGGTAAAATTACAGGTGAAATGTGTAATTTTTATCTAGCTTAGAACCAGATCGGACCTTATGAGATTCAGCGGGTCTGTATATCATTTGGAATGTCGGAATTTTTGAACGTTAAAAAATACTCATTCCATATAATAAATTAAAAAAAATAGTTGAAAACGGATAGTTTTCTGAGAAAAAAATGAATCAAAAATTGCAAGATTTTGATGTTTATAACCTGAGTTTCTGTCATTTTCATACAGTGTTACCAAGAGTTTCAGTCAGTAAGATGATAAAATACGTGAATATTATAGAAGACTAAAATATTATTTACATAGGCGTGGAGGCACGACGGGTTGTTTCGCAGCCCTTAAACTTTTTTCTAAACATCCTGCTGCTTCGCTCTGATCTCTCGGCTACGCTGTACGGCTTAATTGCATAGCCATTGCGCGTTGCTATAAAAATGAGTACTTTTTAGTGTTTCAATTTTTTTTTTTAATACCGACGTCGCTAATATACCTATTATAACGGATCCGAAAAATTGTTTATACATGAAAACATCCGCCCTATTAGAATTTTTCTTCTTGTAACACAGTGTGAGGTGAACCTTAATGTCTGAAATGAGTTTTGAGTTTAAGGACCGGTTTTTCAATGTAAAGTTAACTTGGAATTTAACTAATTTCTATTTGAAGGTCAACCTCTACTAAAAAAAACGTTTTTCAATGCAAATCGCACTTCTTGTTAATTAACCTAAATTTTAAATTATTATATATTTATTTTAACTTTAGATTTTTATGTGTTCTATGCAAAGACATTACAACATAGAGACAAAATGTTTCATTCATAAATCCCATACAATTGCGGACTGTTATTGTTTTAAAATTGTTAGTGAGTGGAAGAGAGAAAGACAGATCTCTTAGGACCGGCTGGCAACGTTGTAAACAGTGTCCATAATATGCACGCCAGTAGCGTAGAGTTTTAAACTTACCATTATTGTCAGAGTAGTATGTTAAAAAAATACGTAAATAAGTAGTATTTTTTTAGTAATATAATTATGATGATTTTTTCATGTAGGTAAATTCAAGTACAAGTAAATTCAAATACAAGAGAATTCAAGTTATCTTCCGATTTTGAATATTTATTGGTTTATAGTTTATTGGCATTTACTATATATTGCCTGGTATGATGTTGACCAAACTTATTTAAAATTTTAAATTAACATTAAGTAGGTAGGGGTATCTAAATAAAACACTGTCCTAAAAATATATAATTTTTTAATTAATAATTATAAAAAAACATGGTATGGCAAAAAATATCGTAAAAAAACTGTAAAATTTTTTAATATAACGTTTTAAATATATTGAATACCTCAATTTTATTGACTAAAATTTCATTTAATTTTTTTATGCTTAGTTATTAGTGTTATTACTTACTGCAATGTTTTTTTGCAGCAGGTTTGGTTCAAAAAACAGTTGAATCAGAACTAAAAACCCATACATTAGATACACATACATATAAGTAATAAATGTTTTCTGATATATTTAGCACCATTTGCACGTACCAAAACATCTTCATGAAGAAAGTGTTCTGAACACAACTCTTTTCAAGGATCCCTTTTATCTCCAGGATCCAATTTAACTCTACCTTATTGGCGGATTAAAAATTCGCCTCCATTGTCTGATGCGTTTGTTAATACCAATTCTGACGATTACTTTATCAACAAACCTATTTATTTCCCAATTTATCAATACATATATGAGTCTCTATTGCACACACCAACTATTGTATACCCCACATACACTAATCTTCCTGCCTTAAATAACCTAATTTTGAAATCCCAATTGAGTTCTTTTAGTGAAGATATAATAAAGATATTTACAGATGGGTCAAAATATGATGAAAGAACTGGAGCAGCTTTTCTTGTTTCTAATATTAATCATATAGAAAAATTTAAACTACCTATGCATTCTTCAATTTTTACAGCTGAAGCTTTGGCCATTAAAAAAGCTCTTTTGTGGTGTAACTTAAGTCCATTTCAAGCGTTCGTTATTATGTCTGATTCAAAGTCGGTCTTACAGGCTATCTAAGGCTCTCCAATAAAGTTTTATCGACAAGAACTTGTATTTGAAATTAAAAATTTATTATATAATCTGAGGACTATCAACAAAAATATTAATTTTGTTTGGGTTAAAGGACACTGTGGCCTCACTGGAAATGAAATTGTAGATCAAGAAGCTAAGGCTGCCTGTAGGATCGGTGTATATACCAAAGTCTCTTCATTGCCTGATATCGTCAATTCGCATAAGAAAAACATAAGAAACAGATGGATAAGCCAATACCATGATGTTTCTAAAAATTTAAATAGTCATTATTTTCAACTTCATAGGCAACTTCCTAATAATATTCCTCATCTCAACAATTTTGGTTTACCCAAAAAATATACTTCTATACTATCACGTCTCAAATTAAATCATGGACGGTTTCCTGCCCATTTACATAAAATAAAAATCATAGACTCTCCCACTTGCACTTGCAATAATACGTCGGTTGGAGACGCCAATCACCTTTTCTTTGAATGTCAAAATTATGCATTACAAACATCTGGGCTATATAAATCTTTAATCTCTCTCAATTTTCCTCTACCAGTAAATTTCACATCCCTTCTGACAAGCACCGATAAACATATCCTCGATATTTTAATTAAATTTATATGCGACACTAAGCTAGATATTTGAGACCCTACTCTTATTTCTTTCTTTTCTGTATTCCATTTCTATTAATTAAACATTCTGTGGCAAATGGACACCGTCCGAAGCCATATCTCTCACACAACAACGAAAACCAAAGTTTTCTTTTCTCATGATCTTGCGGAAACCAAATAGAATATTAAAAAATATGTATAGGTGGCTACTTAATAGGTAAATCATTTTTAAGGTATTCTACATTTTACGTTAAATTTTCTTTGCCACTATTCAATAATTATTTATTGGTATAAGAATAATTTACTAATTTATAAAAGGAATATCACTTTAAAAACTGTTTTAAGAGGAGTATTTACTTGGCTATAGAGCGGAGCATGCAAGGGTTTCGTAGTACCCCACTTTTAAAGTTTATTTTTGACTTATTCTGAAAGAAAAAAATATGTACGTGTAGGTAAAGGATAAATCTATGCTCCTCTGGAAACACTTTTTTAAAATTTGAAACAGTTTTTTCTAAAAAAAAATACAAAACTCGACTTGTTTTACCCATTTTCTCAATTTTTTTTAGAAAAAACTAAATTGAATTTTGAAAAAGTGGTTCCAGAGGAGCATAGATTTAACCTTTACCTACACACACATATTTTTTTATTTTAAAAATAGTCAAAAATGAACTTTAAAAGTGGGGTACTACGAAACCCTTACATTGCAAGATTTTTCGTCTGGAAAGTGGCGCCTCTGTTAGATTTTTAAGAAATTAATATTTGTGAATGAAAACAATTTATAATATATTTTACTGATGTTTTACGAGGGATGAATAAATTTTACGTATTTGTACACCTTATTTTTTACGTAATTTATTTCTGTAATACTAAGATTGGCATATACATATATTATATGCAAGGGTTTCATAGTACACCAATTTTACGGATTATTTTTTAATTTTACTAAAAGAAATTTTATGTAAGTACAGGTAAAGGCTTAACCCATACCTCTCTGGATTTACTTTCAAAATATGAATCAGTCTCTTTTGAAAAAATCTAAGAAAAGAAACGAAAGCCACCCGATATGGCATGGACCATAAATTCAAAACAAAATAAGATTTGGAAATTTATTTGCAAGTAAAAGTTTTTAAATGTGGACATTTTATTGAATTCGAATTTGATTATGTTGCTGCCAGTCTGGATGGAATTAAAAAAAAAAACAAAACTCTATGATAGAGTTAAAATGTCCATATGGAGCTGAAGTGCGGACTGTAGCAAAAGAAATATGCAGTAGAGAAATAACTTTTTGGAAAAAGAACAATTCCATTAAGGAGAACCACTATTGGTATTTTCAAATTCAGGGCTAGCTGCACATAACACAAATGAATTTTTGCATTTTGTGCTTTTGGACTTCTGGAGGAATAGAAGTGGAGAAAATATCTCATATTGACAGCTTTTGAGAAAAAAAGATACAAAATAAAATTAAAATTTTTTATATGCAATATGTCTTGCTGGAACTTGTTGACAGCGAAGCAATAGAGACATGGAAGTACGAGACAGAATATTAAATAATTCGTGAGAAATTTTGTTTAATGTTTATTAACATAACGCAAGGAATCTTAAATTATTTTGAATATTTTTATTAATTTAAGAATTAAATTTTATTTATTTCTAAAACATGGTAGTAGGCGATCCATTTAAGATATGATTAATGTCTTCTTATTATTATATTACACTATTTTAAATTTAGGATTTTACCAGTGGCAGTGGTAATTGATGATAGGTATATAATTATTATTACACCAAATGTTTTAAAAGGCTACACCAACTAGTGGACCACGCTTTTAAGTCCCCAAATAATAGTTTCAAGATTTTGATTCGGATTAGAAGTTTTACTATACAGGGTTTTGTGTCAAAGCCAAGTCATGTAGGTATTGTTATTGTAATACGTAGATGAGTAACTATCATCAATAGAAATTTAAAATTCAAACATAAATCTTTGTAAAGACGTTATTTATAACTTTATTAACTTCATAACGGTCAAAAATGTTAGTTAACTTATTTAATTTTAAATATAAATTGATTTTAATTTTAACTTAGAAATTTTCGAAAAGTTCACTATATTGTGTAGTTGTTGCAACTTTACTGCGCTTAAGTAGCGTTAAGATTAAAATATAAATTTATGGAGCTTAACTGAAAAACAGAAACTAATTCCAAAAAAAGTATTATGGCCAATAAAAAGAATTTTGAATTGTGATATCTGCAAGTCCTTATTTA